TTTTTTTGATTATTTATACTGATGCATAATTTTTTCCTTCTAAGCAGGATTAATGCTATTTTCACAGAAAATTCGATGATCTTTGCAGAACTTTTTAATTGGTTTTTATGAACAGTATGCACAAAAGTAGAAGTTCTAATTTGGCTTTCGTATTGAAATAAGGGAAGCAAAAACAAAGTGGAAAGCCTAAATAAACTTTAAACACTATAAAATTATTAATTTATACTTCATATTCAGCAGATTAAGATACTAACCTTATCGATATGACCTAACTATTTTATATCACGTCCTTCAAACATCATATAACTGATGGGATTCACTGCAAACACCTTTATTTTTTTAAGTAGTTAAAGGTTATTAAGATCTTTCGTGACTACATCCCGGGTTTTCAGAGCTTAACTGTTGCAGAATTAAGGCCTTTTTTATAAATTAGCACCAGAAGTAGCTCCTCACTAAATTTAAAAATTTGCTCAAATCATTGAGTGAAAATGAATTTATGAAAAACATTCAACAATTAACAATTTGCTGCTATATTTGCATATATCCTCCTTCATGTCTATAAATTTGGATAAGTAATAAAAGTTCTCTGATCCTGTACCATTAATAATGTTAAAATTAACTAATTTTAGTCGCAATACTAACAGTAGAATCATCCGTATTCTGACTGTTTCACACAGCAGCAATTAAGTTAAGATCTAAAATGGCTTCAAATACAGTGTAAGCGTGCGTTGTCAACTGGATAACTATTATTTATATAGTCTCATCAGCAGTGTAAATGCTGAACACTAATTTTCTGCGCAGTGTAAATTCAACACGTTTTTCAAAATTTAAAGTTTTGTGTATAATTATAGGCCCCTTTGTATAGTTACAGACTGTTATTTAGTAATCAGTACTTATGAAGCTTTTATTCTCGTCAATATGCACACTTAGGGTTGTAGTTAGAAAGTTTTAGAATTCGATAGACCAGTTTACTTGACTCTTCATCTAAATCGCTTAATGATTTGCAAGCTAGTCCTATTCATTTATGCGGTTCTTTTATGATTCAGTGTGAATTAAACTTCTGACCAAGTTTTTTGACTAGCAACCCCACAAACTAAGTTCACACATACAGATCTGAAGTTTCACCAATGTTGATCATTTGTTGAAAGCGACAGTGTTGCGAAAAACATGAATAATTGCTATGTCATCTATTTTTCCCAACATGAATACTTTGTTTTCATTTGGCTTTCTCGAAACTTATCATCAGTCTAGGAATTTGGCTTCTTCTTAGTTTTTTCTTTGTTGTTTACAAAAGTTTCGTTGAAGAATGTAGAGGATTAGTTTCTTTCCCTGTTCTAAATTTATCGTTTTAAGCACACCAAAGGATTTGGCAGTTTACCCAAAGTGGAGTACCTTTGCAGATTTTCACTTTTCTTTTCTGTTCATTGATACACTGAGCTATTTAATGTAACTTCTGATAACACAGTTTTTGACTATATGTTATAAATAATGAGCTATACAGTATAAGATCAAGAAAAACAGCAGTTAAACGTAAAACTGCTACACAGATGCAGCTGACTGTTAGCTGGGAACAGTAGGAAAAAAAAGTTTGGTTGTTACATCTTTTTTTCGTTGAGACTTATTTTCTGTAATTAAAAATCGGCTTCTGGAAAGGGGACGAAAAGGAAAAGTAAAAAGCAACTTTTCGCTGAAAAAATGGTCATAGTTTTTATTCATTTTC